TATATGTGTAGTGTAAGCAGGCCTTGAACTTGCTGTATATCCCGCACGAGCTTAACCTCAAACCCAAACTCTTTTATTTCATCTCATCCTCTTGACTGTCGCGAGCACAGGTGCGCATCACCACACCAAACTGCTGCTTAGCTTCCCTGCAGCTCCTGCAGCACTTATGAGTGAGCTCGAAGTACCTCGCTGTGGGGAAGACTCACTGAGACCATGCCCAGAGATGGCATAGCTTGGTGCCAATCAAAGCACGGCATGAACGCTAGCTGTTAGTAAAAACGGTATTGGTGTGCCAAAGACTCTCGCCGGGCGGTGGTGGCACGGGTCTTTAATCCCAGCACTTGGGAGGCAGAGACTGGAGGATCTCTGTGAGTCTGAGGCCAGCCTGGTCTACAGGGCGAGTTCCAGGAGAGGCTCCAAAGCTACACAAAGAAATCCCGTCTAGGAAAAAAGAAAAAAGATACCCATTGCAGAGTCATTCAAAGTATTGAAAAACGAGTTTCAAAAACAGGAAAATGGTTACAGATCATGCCACATCAATAGTAGAAAATTAGCCGTCAAAATGATAGATAGAACTAGTAAGACTTCATAGAAACAGAAAAGGAATCTTTGTTGAAGTTAAATGAAAAGATCAAACAACACTATATATATATATACTTGCAGGGATTGCTCAGAAGAAATCGAATCTCCTTGAGTGCTGGGATTGAAGGCTTACACCAACATGCCCTACTCTTTCCCTTTTTTTAAATTTGAGACTGATTTTTCACTATACAACGCAGGCTGTTCTCACGCTTGTGAGCCTCCTGCCTCAGCATCCTGAGAACTGCAATTACAGTTGTATACTGCCAAACTCAGCTTAGAAATTATTTTCTTCCCAATACTCTACATACACTCTTTGTTCCAGACAGTCCAGCCCATTCATCTGTTAAGCACGGAATGCCTCCTATATCCAGGTCTTTGGCCGAGCAGAACCAAACCAGGCCCCCATCAGATACTTTGGACTTTTTTAGAATCTTTCCATTTATCTTGGAAGAAAGGCACTGTGGTGAGAAAACGGGCTATCTAGTTGGATTTAAGTAGATCTCTAAATTTTGCATTTAAATTTAAAAATTTTGTGTGTGTGCGCGTATGCACACGTGGCTGCCATGACACCCAAGTGTGGTCAGAAGATAACTGGTGTGTGCCAGTTCTCTCCTTCTATCACATGCGGTCCCAGGGATCCAACTCAGGCTGTCAAAGTTGGCAGTAAGAGATTTTATTCCCTGAGCCATCTTGCTGCCTCCCTGTTTGGGGATTTTTGAGATAAGGTTTCAGGCTAGCCTTGAACTCACGGACACAATCCTTCTGCCTCAGTTTCTCAGTGGTTGGGCTTATAAGTGTGAGTGGCTGTGCCTGGCTTTATGGGATTTGATGACAACTGAGTTGTTTGTGACTTTGAAGAACTTTCACCTGCTTTTCAGTTGGCATAATTACAGTACTCATTGGTGGGTATTAATACGTGAAGCGAGATAATATATGCAGAGTGCAAGCGCAGAACATGGTGTGCGGCAGGCGCTCACAGCACACTGTCTCAGTGCAGGCGCCAGGGAGCACTCTCTTTCTGTCAGGATGAGTCTGGTTAGTGAATTGTCCACATTACACACTTAGCCAACAACAGAAGGAGGACCCGAATTCAGGCTGCTTTTTAACAGGCTGAGTTCACCATACATGCGTGCATGCATGCACACACACACAGGCATCAGAGATATAAATAAGTATTCTCTGTACTGCTCAACAGATCCCTTATCCCCTGGTCCAGAGTGCCAGAGTTTGGAAATTTTCCAGAACTGTGACTAAAAAAACTGGTTCTACTGGGAATATCTTGATTCTTTTCATCTTCACTTGCAAGGTGGGGCTAATCGACCTGTTATTTAACATAAGGATTAATTCCATATTGACAATATGCTGTGAACTTCTTAAAGAAACATGCCATTATGTTATGCTAGGACAGTGTTCCTCTATGCGACAGAATCTTTGAGTTACCAGCTCCCCATCTGTCAGCATCAGAGAGCTGCACAATACAGAACTTCAGTTCTGGCTGGTCTTGTGCTATTGACTGCTGGTTTCACGCTAGTTTTTTTTTTTTTTAATTTATGTTTTTGAGAGAAACAATAGGATGGATTTTTATTTTAAAAATGCCTTTAAATGTCTTTTATACATATGAGGGTTTTGCTTGCATATATGTATATGCACCATGTATATGCCCAGTACCTGAAGAAGGGAGAAGGTAGATCCCCTGGAACCAGAGTTATGGATGGTTGTTGTGGGATCCCATGGAAGTAGCTCCTCTCCATCTTGACATAAAGTCAGAGAGTTCGAGCTACTATGCTCCTACAAGGTCAAACAAAAGAATGTTTGACCTAATGTGAAGTTGTTGTACATCTTGCCTAGATAACAGGATGCTTGGTCTAAGGTGTAGCAACTGGATGTTTGATTTTGGGCACAGGTATTAGATGTTTTGAATTAAGAAAGTCATCACTTTTGTTTGCTCCTTGTATAATGATTAAAAAAAAATGTCCCTTTGCCTTCCCTTTTGACTTGGGGTGTAAAAGGGCTGTGAGAAATAAACTTGGCAGATTTCAGTATTCACTGGGATGCCTTCCTGACGCTATCTTCAGTCTCTCGTCCATTCTTTCCTTAATCCACACTCTGCTTCTCAAGAATGGACAGCTGGACCGAGACAGGCCGTAAGTCACCAGGCGGATGCTGGGGATTGAACTTAGGTCCACCGAAGAAACAACAAGTTCTTAGCTGAGTCAGCTCCCCAGTCTCTCCTGATTGTTTACCCGTCTGCTTCTATGAGACAGAGCCTGGCTGTGCAGCTCAGGGGGGCCTGAGACTCTCGCTCTCCGGCTTCCTGCATGGTGCGAGTGCCCAAATGTCCCACCACACCTGCCTTGGACTCATGTGCTTTTGTGTGAATGCTAGCGCTCTAGGAGCTCGATTTCCAGCTCCATGACAGGCAAGGAAACCAAAGGCCTGAGCGGTCACGTGGTTTTCACATCACGCCCTCGCAGAGAAGTGCTTTCATCAGTCACCACACACACTCTGGTGTTTCTAAGCTGGGCAGTGGTGGGGCGCACATTTGATCCCAGCATTCAGGAGGTAGCGGCAGGTGGAGCTCTGTGAGTTTGAAGCCAGCCTGGTTTACAACACGAGCTCAGGACAGCCAAGGCTACACAGAGAAACCCTGTCTTGAAAACACAAACAACAGCAACTGTCAACAACGACAAACCCTCTAGTGTTCTTAAAGCAGGCAGTCACGTCCAGACAGCTTACTCAGTGAATCTGGGAACATAGCCTGGGTTCTGGCTATATGATCTTCCTGTCTTTTTCTTGTGCATATGGACTGGATGAGCTCATTAGTGGAACTTTTCAGAGCCACGCTGGATAACCAGTGTTTCTTATTCTTTATACCTTATTTAAAATGACAGTGCTGGGGACAGGAAGAGACAGGTACAACGACCTTCTTGCAAGATTGTGACGTTTGAGCTCTCCTGACTATGCATGAAATTTCTTCATAGACTTTCTCTACTTGAGATTCCTCAGGACCCCAAATTTGGTGCCCTATCATTAAACCGTGAAATACTTAGCACCGTTCTATCTTGCAAAATGTGCATTTCTTAACCTCAAAAGGGTAGTGACCAAAATCCTTTGAAATAATGCAACACTGGAAACTGGAAATGCATCAGCAGACCCTATCTTTGCTTGGAGGATGTGAGCCACCTGGGCCACTTGAACCTAAGATTCTCAATTGATCTACAAAATTAAATAATTTTTTCAGATCCCAAATTCCACAGTTGTTTTAAGTTTGAGGATTTTTTTGTTTGTTTGTTTTTGCCCCCTCACTGAGTCTGCTTCTTGTTTTAGGTCTGGGCCTGATGTTAACCAAACACCACACACAGTTCTGTTCCTCTGCTCTGAACCCACAAAGCACTGCTTCTTCTAGCTTTGCCAACACACCCCTCTTTCTCCGCCATCCAACAATGATGCTTTTGTTTAGTGGGATGGGTCCAGGTTTCTTGGGTGAGCAATCTCTTTTACTGCAGTAAGTTCAAATATTTTGTTCATTGCAGGTCAGTTTACAGCTCTGTTCTCTTTGGAAGGTTTTGGTGATCCTAAACCAGAGTTCCTAGCTCCAAAACAACAGCAATAACATAGAATAAAAGTTCTAGTGAAATCGATATCTTTCCACCAATTGTGTGTGTGTGTGTGTTATAAAGCAATCACCTTCATAGGTAGCTAACTTGAAGCTCCTCAGCGAACCAGATTAAAAATCAGTTCCTTTGGCATTCCTGTCAAAAGCAGTCTTTTCTCTTCGGGAAAAATTCTTTCCCTAGATTTTTGTCCAACCACTCTGCTCAGAAGGCCCTGGGTATGTCCATTCTTAAATGCGGCCTCCAATCTGTTGCCTCAAGACTTTACAGTCCTCCGCTGCACTGTACCCCATCATCTTATTATTATTATTTTAATCATATCCTTCTCTGAACATTTTTTCTTCACTGCTCTTTGATCTGTCTACCCGGAGACTGTCAAGTCCAGGTGCAGCCATCGTGTGACAGCCGCAGTGGCATCCCCAGTGTCCAGAAATCCGCCTGGAATGGTGAACAAATTGCTGATGTTAGGAACAAATGGGAACTAGCCACTTGAGCTCCCCCTTTACCTTTAAATAAACTCTCCAAGAGGCACCCACTCAGATTACACATCCAGCGAGAACTAGGTGAAGGGCATGTGACCTCCCGGTTGGCTTGAAAGTCTTGCCGTTGCTCTGGGCAACCACTGTTTCCCACTAGACACGTCGTCGTCGCCCCGCCTGTCCCGCTTGGCCCCACCCCAGGACGCCGAACCTCGGTTCTCCTCTACAAAAAAAAAAAAAAAAGACGCTGGCCCTTTAAAGAGCAAGAGCATCTTTGGTCACGTGGTCCGCGGCCACCGGAAGGGGAAGTTTCTCTTGTGAGCTCTGCCTGGCTCGTCCGAATTCGGTGGCGCCACGTCCGTCGGTCTCCGCCTCCTGCACGGCGGCTGCGCTCCTACTTTCCCTGGCCGAGCCGGTCGAAGAGCGCGGGGTGGGCACGGGAGGACGCGCGGCGCTGCGCAGCCGGCCACCTGACGGGTGACCATGTCGGACATCGGGGACTGGTTCAGGAGCATCCCGGCCATCACGCGCTACTGGTTTGCTGCCACCGTCGCGGTCCCATTGATCGGCAAACTCGGTATTATCAGCCCGGCCTACTTCTTCCTCTGGCCCGAAGCCTTCCTCTATCGCTTCCAGGTAGTAGCTGGCGTCGGGCAGTGGAGACTACAGCCCCCATGTGTCCCCGCGGCGGCAGGACTGGTTCGGCGGGCTGCGGGGCGCGCTGGGGCTGGTGGGATCTGTAGTGCGTCCGGCTCCAGGGGTTTAAGGCGGGGTCCTTGGGGTCTGGGGAGGTCCTGGGGTTTGGCGCTAAGACGGGGGATAACTTAGAGCCGCAGATTGGTGTGCTGGGAAGTGACTTACTATACTTGTCTGGCAAGATTGGGCTTCCCGCCTTCCACACTCTGAAGGAACTAGTGAGAAGGTAAGTTAGGGATAGTTACCATTCTCATGACAGATTGGGCCCACCTGCTTTAACGTCCTCTGCCCTCCTTCAGTCCCCACCGTGATGGTGCCTCTTAATCAGTGACGTCTACTTGACAGCCTTCTAAATGGATGGCTCGTATGTTTACAGTTTCACTCTCCGACTTAGAGGTGTGATTTAAGGTCGGAGATTTTAAAAAAAAGTGTGAATTTCTGTGTATTTCCTGCGGTCCCTAACCCAGCACCTGATCTAGAGTAGTTAAATGTATCAGTGAATGGATAAACTACTTAGGAAACGGGAGATGTTCTTTAAGTACCCAGGAAAACACTCAAGATTATTATTCCAGGCCAAAGAATATTAATTTCCTAGAGGTTATTTTTATTGTTTCTATGCTATAATTTTTTTATCAGCGGAAACTCAAGATTCCAAGATTAGATATGAACCTCAGTACTCCTCTCCACTGGGGGTTGATCTCTAGTCTCCTCTGTTGATTTCTCGTTTTCCTGACCTAGATGTTGCCATATACCCCAGGAATCCATAATAGGATCCCTCTGTAGTCGCTCCCTAACCGTGAGAGGCAGATCTTTACCAGTCATGGGCATAAATACTCGGGTGGGAGACTGTCAGGTACACAGGTATTTCTAGTGTAGTGGTGGAAATCACCACTTGGTGACCAGTTGACACCTAATCAAATCTCCTTTTTGTCTTTGCCCTAGAAGTAAACAGCAACTGAATTGCTAGAGGAGTTGAAACTAAGTCTTAGAGACATCCCTGAGTTCTTTTCTGCTTGTTCTTTCTTTCCAAGTGCAGGGAGTCAAACCCAGGGCATAGTATAGGCACGTGCTTTATCCTTGAGTACCTTGTACAGTCCCTCGACTTCTTTTTCCCAGCCCAGACTCTATCAAGAAGGTCCTTCCATTTGATTCCACCTCAGCTGTATATCCAGAACCCAGGGCTTTCTCCATGGCGAGCTGTCATTATGCCAGCTTGGCTCTTCTCGTTCTCAGTGGGCAGGTTAGAGTGATCCTCCTAAAACATAGTCATGCCTTGTCCGTCTCCCTAGAATCCCCCAGTATCTGGCTGCTTGCTGTTGTCCTAAGTTGACCCCAGGGCTTTTGCACGTGTTATTTCTCTACTGAGGAAGATAATATCATGGCTCGCTCTCGTACCTCTGTGTATCCTTCATGCCTCTGCCCAAATGCATTTTCCTTTTAAGGCCTTCTCTGATTGCTCTTTATTAGAGTATTCCTCCTTCACTCTGTTTCCCTCACCTTTACTCTTTCCTGCCACATGGCATCTGTTGGTATTTGTTAGTCCACTTCCCATCAGAGAACAAGATTTTGTAGGAACTTTACGATTGCCTGTGTCACCTAGGCTAGTGCTGGGCACATAGCAGCTGCTTATATATTGCTTGAGTTCATAGGAATAATGGGTGCTTGTGATATTCTGGGCACTTGACTACAATAGTGAATTAGACAGAGGTTCCTGATCCTATGGAAAAACAGAGGGAGGCACATTGTTAAGGAAAATGATTTAAGACATGGGTGTTTCTGAAAAGTCTAAGGATACTGAAGAATATCTTTGGATCTGGCTTTGGACCTCACCTTCCAGAGAGGAGGAATGATAAACTGGGAACAGAAAGAGGACTGGGTATGGAGTAGAGAGCCAGCGGGAGTGGGGAAGACAGGAGTTAACCATTGGTTGTTCTGTCGAGCAAAGATGGGACTATAGGTGAGGGCTGGATCACAGAGGGCTTGGTAGTTCATGGTAAGAGACTTAAATTTTAATTTTTTCCAGTGCTAAGGATCAAACATAAGGCCCTAGGGCATTGCCCATGCCAGGCAAATACTCTCTACCTTTGAACTTTGATTTGAGAGCACCAGTGACTCCTGGGAGGATTTGAACACAACCCCGAGCAAGGCGTCCCTGGTGCTCTCAAATCAGAGCAAGGAACATGGTGGTTGGTACCCAGGTGGCTGTGGATAGATTTGGCAGTTAGTGTGAATACAGAAGGTGAGGAGGAGAAGGAGAGCGGGCTCAAGGATAGCACTGTTTTTCAGGAGTGACTGGCACAGGCCTTTATGAGTGTGGGAATGCTATGCTCTGAGGGGCTTGGGTTTGGTTTGCAGTGTGGACTGTGGTTGTGCTTTGGTCAGTATTAAATCTGGAAGTGCTCTCCAGGCATCCTCGTAGAGACAACCTGCAGCGTTGGTCGAAAGGACATGGTCCTAGAGCACAGCCGGAACTGCATACTGGTTCAGTCACTTGCTTTAATTAATACATTTTGGCGGAGTACTGTTGTGCACCTTGTACCTGCTGGCATATTGGGTAATAAGTGTGCATGAGGAGCGTTGGCTGTAAATCATTTTATGGGACGTGGTCGAAACAGACTCTTTGAGCCGTCTTGTGAAATGTCGTTCGCTTATAGCCAGATTGGTAGAATAATCACCATCAAAAACCTTCCTAATAAGCTACAGATAGAGCAATATTAGAAGCAGGGAACTGAACCAACTAGAGACATCATTTGTTTCACACCTCATCAGCCCCTCAGATGCAGATTGGTAACAAACCTCGCAGAAACAATGCAAGAAGGATGAAAAGCACAGAAGGTGTGCTTTCCCGGTTTCTGCAGCAGACGCCGCTCCCTAGGCACTCCATCTGTGGCAGCTTAAAGAAATTGTGGGATAATTGATTTAGAATTGTACATTCACAATTTGAAGTAACTGAAGGTATTTTCCTTCTCCCCTGTAGACTAATTTTGTGTAGTGTGGTGCTTTCAAGCTCTAAAGTCTAAAGTGCTATTTCTCTAGCTTGGGTCACAAAACACAGCAAGTTTGCTAAGACTCACTGCTGGGCTGTCCACAGTTTCTGCCTACCAAGTACTTCCCAGGATGGAGTGTCTTCATGTTTGCTCCTGATTACAAAAGAGGTGGCAGTTTCCTCATAGTTTCGTGTTTGCTGAGATTGTATGCCCTGTGGAGCCTGCACTGTTTCATTTTTTAAAAACCATAAAGCACCATTTGCTTTGATTATTGTGCTTTTCTGTATGTATGTAATCTCAGCTTCCACAGCTGTCTTGAGATAAGTGCTGGCTCGTTTATGAACGCCTAAAGCTGGTTTCTATCTCAGCTGGTTAAGAATAGTCTAAGTTGTTAAACCCCTTGCTAGCCCCTCACCCCCAAGTATTTAGCAGAACATTTTGAAAAGTGATTTCTCCCAAATTAATTATAGAAAATGATTCTTCCTCTTTTCCTAGAGCTAGAAGGCCATAAGGCATTGAGTAGGTGAGTAATTTAGGATAGAAAGATTGCAGGCTTTCAAGTATTTCAAGTTGTCGGGTCTTGACATCAAAGCCCCAACTCAGATGCTTACAAGTTGTGTGCCGTGAACCAAGTTATGTCTGGACCTACACTATGTTTACCTAAAAGCAGAGATAATATAATGAGATGCTAACTCACTCACCAGAGTTATAGAACTCTAGTGACTATAGGGCTCTCCATTAGTTTAATACTTTTTTTGGGGGGGAGAGAGAAGAGTAGAAATTACATTAAATGAATATATTAATTGTAAAGTAAGCCCTAATTTCAAAAACATAAATAAAAGTGCCTTCAAATCAAGGAAATAAATTAGCTGTTTCATGCCTCTCAAATGTAACACAAAAATTTGTATAATAACCAGTAAGCAGTCTTAATAAGCAAACTATTGAAATAGTTGACCATTTGTATTTATTAGTAGTAATAAGGTATTTTAATATTAATTTTAAATTATAAATATAATCCATAAATTTATTATTATCATTATTATTATTATTTAAAAGAATCCCAGCTTACTGGGCATGGTGGTGCATACCTGTAATTCTAGCATTGGGGAAGCAGAGGCCAGGCTGAGCTGTACAGCAGATTTCAGGCTAGCTTTGCTACAGAGTAAGACCCTAGCCCAAGAAAGTGAAAAAATAAACAGCACAGCAAGAATCAGAAAGGGCCTTGCGGGCTAAAGATGTGGCTCAGTTGGTGTGGTGCTTGCCTAGCATTCACAAAACCCTGAGTTTGATCCCTAGTACCACATAAACACCAGCGTAGGCGTGGTGGTATGTGATGTAATCTCCATATTCGAGCGGTGGAGGCAGGAGGATCACAAATTCACGGTCATCCTTGGCCATATAGTAGCTTCAAGATCGTCTACCTCAGAAAAGAAACAGAACTAATCAACAACAACAAAAGGCCCCTCACTTAGAATGGGAAGACTCTTGTGAACTCTGAACTTCTCTTACTTGTTTCCCAGGATCAGAAACGGCATGAGCTACATCTGTGCTGCAGACTGGTGCTTACATTCCCTAGCTTTGTTTGTATGTCACATTTAACCCAGGGACTGGAGGTTGACTGAAGAATATTTGGGGTATGCTTTCTAAATAGCTGGAAAGAGAGTAAGCTTGAACTGTAGGCTGACATGGCAGTAGCACCATCATTCAACATAATCATCTTGCGTGGAGGCCCATGTAGTGTGTATTGCATGTGTGTGCATGCTCAAGTATACAGGTGTGTGAAGGCCAGAGATTAACCTTGGATGTCATTTGATTTTTTTTCTTTTCTTTTCCTTTCCTTTCCTCTCTCTCTCTCTCTCTCTCTCTTTCTTTCTTTCTTTCTTTCTTTCTTTTTGATACAGGGTTTCTCTGTAGCTTTGGAGCCTGTCCTGGAACTCTCTTTGTAGACCAGGCTGGCCTTGAACTCACAGAGACCCATTCCTCCTACCTGTGCCTCCCGAGTGCTTGCAGTGTATCGCCACTGCCCAGCCTAAGCCTTGTTTTTTGAGACAAGGTCTCTCACTGGGATTTGGGCTCACTGATTAGCTTAGCCTAGCGTTGGCCTCCAAGCCTCAGGTGCTTACCCATTTTCTTCTTCCTAGCACTGGAATTACAGGTGTTTATCACTGTGCTTGTTTTTTTACTTGGTTTCTAGGTATTGAGCTCATGCCCTCATCTCCTTTCCCTGTTCGCTCCCCAATGTTGACATTCTTAATTTCAAAATAACCCTTTTTGTTTCAGATAAATCTTTTTCTCACTTTATTATTCCACTTTAATTCTGGATGGCATTTGCAGTGATTTCATCAGCAGGTCCTAGGCAAGTTTTAGTTAAATAAATGGTGGATACAGCCTCTAACACTGTTGCAAGAGTAACTAAAGAATAATAGGTCTTTTGGAGGGTTTTTGGCATTGAACATGTAGGCTAATGTCATCCTTATGTGAGGAACTCTGATTCCTCAGATTACCTGAACCTAATTAGGGCCTAGCTTTTCTCTTGAAGAACACACACACACACATACACACACACATACACATATTTGTAGCTGGGCATGGTGAAACAGACCTGTAATTTGAATACCTGATAGGTTGAGGCAGGAGGATTAGCAGGGTAGCCTGTAATGTGAGTAGCAGGGCCAGTCAGGATTGCCAGTGTCTCAAAAAAAAAAAAAAAAAAAAGGAAAGCAGAACCCTCCCCTAAAGAACCTCATCCTACCAGGGCCAAGAAAACCCCACTGTATATTAAAGGTCTGGCCCTGGACCCCTGTGGTGAAGGATTTTCTCCACCAAGTCCTCTCAGGGGAGTGAGACACAGAGTTCTGTCTGCCAGTCCTGGGCTTCTGTGCTGGGCCTGGCTGCTTCTGGCCCTGCAGATAGAGCCTGCTTCCTTTCCTGTTTACCTGTCAGACAGAGGAGGGGGCTGTGGGGATGGCAGAAATAAACACTGTCCTTCTGAAAAGACCCAGTGCTCAGCAATTGCAAATTATAATTTTAAAGTAATACAGAAATAATAAGTCTTTCCGATGAATGAAAGCAAGTGTAACTCAAGGGTAGGCTTAATGAACGGCAAGAGAAGCGAGGTATTTTGACAGACACTGATTTCTAAAGAACAGGTGCGCACAGTAGCTAAAAATAGTGTTGTGTCATCAGCATTAGAGAAGATGTAGTCAGGGAAAAAACCCGAGGTTTCTCTGCTAAAATCAGGCATTGAGCAATTTAAAGGAGTATGGGAGTAGGTGAGATGCGAATTTTACAAACTAGGTCAGTGGGTGTTTTCTGGAAGGCTGTAATAGTAGCACACCTCCATACATGCTTTGACAGAGCACAGTTTCATCCTTTCTTGAGTCCAGCCTTTCAAGCCCCTGAAGATAAAGGACGAGGGCAGGTGTCCCAGGACCAATGTCACTGTGTACACGAAGAAAGCCAGCTCAAACGTCTAGCCATACAAGATTCCAAGGCTAGGAACTTGCTTTTGCCCTGTATTGCCGTGCTTTTTGCAAGCAGGGGTGGGGGTGGTTAGGTTTGCTCTTAGTTCGTTTCTGGGTCATACAAGGATAGCAGTATTGGAAATTTTTATTAATTGTAGCTGTAATACCGATGTCTCTTACAAATTCCAGAGTCATTCTAGGACAGAATTCTGTCTCTACTAGTTACTAGCTCTTATGTAACTTTTTATCATGCCGTTTCCTCATCTATAAGACCTTTTGAATCATTGCGTGTAAATAAACCAAGTAGCATACTGATTCATTCATTTTTAAAAAGTCATTAATCAAGGTCTGGGGATATATACAGTTTAGTAAATTTACCCAGCATATTCAGGTTCTGGGTTCCATTACCAGGACTTCCTAAACAAAACAAAATAACAAAGTCATTAATCAATTGAGGATTGTATGTGATTCTCCCCTTATACTTTTAAATTGAGGCTAAGAAATATTAATGTTACAGCAACTTATACTCAGGGCCTCATGGCTTCTGCAGTGCCGTTTTCACGAGATAGTCAAGTTGTGAATGGAGATGATTGAACCTATTGCTTCTCTGCTTTAATACAGGGTCTTGGAAGGTCACATTTACTCCATACAGATCGTTAAGCTCTGGGGGTTTTATTTCTGTCCATGGAGAATGAACTTGGCACCTCTGTTCTTGCAGTGTCTATGACTCTGATCTTCCGTTCTAGAAGCCCTGGATCGTTAACAACCCTCTCCTATTTACTGTGCTCTTGCAGTTCTTGGAGGCTTTGTGCCAAGAGTGTATTTTCCCTTCCTTGTGCCAACTCTTGCTCATTTTGACAGTCTTTCCATGATTGATCCAGCCATGCTTTTCGTGCTTGGCACATGATAGTGTGCCTTAAGACACATAGCTTTTAAGCCAAAGGTCAGCATCATGCTGTTTTACCAAAGTCTAGGAGGCCTTCACTTTTTTCTTGCTGTTTAATACTGTTTTGGAGATGTGAGCCGGTGAGTGGTAAAGTGAAAGAAGACACAGGCTTTATTTGTGCATGGGCTTGAGTGCTTGGGAAGGCCAAGAGGTTCAGTTTTCACATGTTACTTGCTTTGTGGTTGATTATAAAAAGGAAGAAGAGAAAGTTATGTAGAAAACTGTGAAAGTTTGGCAAGAGTATGTCAGCGTCACATTGATAAAAAAATAAAGATGTTGGATCTGATTTACTTTAAAAGAGTACTGAGACTAGCCAGTAAGAGAACTTGGGAAGGAAAAGGGGGAAGGAGGTTATATTTCCTTAGATCTGGAAATACTAAATCAGAAATGAAAATATCTTAGTATAGGCATTCATTCCAAATGATCTAGTCTAAAGTAGGCTTTAAGGTGAATTAGCCTTTCACATAATTGGAGAAAGTACAGTTGCTTTAATGAGACCAGAAAGCTAAATGATCATCTAGAAAAATAAGTTGAATCTTTTCCTCATCTGTGAATTGTAAAGGTCTTGCAGTAAAATTGAACATGTTCTTATCCTTGGAAAAACATCTTTGAAAAACTTTGTAAGCTTGGTAGTGTTGGGTACCTACCTGTGTCTTAAACTTTATGTTGAATATACAGTAAAAGTCCCATAAAAGTCAGTGTATTTAAAAATGAAGAGACTATAGCAATAGGTATTGCTGTATAAAATACACCAACACTGTAAAATCATGAGCCTAATGGCAGAACAGAAAACAATGAGCAACAAGAAAGTTCCTTAATATATAAAGAAATGCCAGTCTATTGGAAGTGGATGCTTTTAAAATATAGGAAAGATAGAAAGAAAATATAGTTAGAAATTATAGAGAGATGCTTAGCTTTCTCAAAGCAAATAAAAATTGGTTTTCAGGTTAGTGGATTGTAAAATACTCTCCGTGGTGAGTAAGTGTGGAAAGATGGCACTCATCTACATTTTAGGAGGAGGTATAAATTAATTAAGCATTTCTGTAGACATTTGGCAATATCTACCAAAATAAGTGCATATGTCTGTTGATCTAACAGATTGATTCACAGGCATTTACTTTCTCTCTCTCCCTCTCTCTGTGTATGTGTGTGTGCGCATGTGTGTGCGTGCGTGTTTGTAGAGAATATATAAAAATATTCATCATGGCATCATAACAGTTTAAACGAAGTTTGGATATCCACATACAGAAATACTCTGAAGCCAATAGAAATATTTTGTCAAGGCAATGAAGATAGAAAACTGCAATTTAAAGTGTGGTGAAAAAGGAGGAATATGGTAGAACACACGAGCAAATGGGCCATGCATGGTGGCCTGCTTTTGGAATCTTAACACTCAGGAGCCTGAGACGGGCAGATTGAACTTTCTGGCATAGCCTGGACTTAGAGATCCTGTTTCAAAAACAAAGCAGAGGCCAGGTATGGTGGTGCATGCCTTTGATTACAGCACATGGGAAGCAGAGCCAGGCAGCTCTCTTGAGTTTGAGGGCAGCTTGGACTACATAATGAATTTCAGGACATCCCAAGGCTACACAGAGACACTGTCTCAATAAACCAAAAACAAAAGCAGGGCCTTGTGTTGCAGGCAACTCTTGTAATCCAGCAGCTCTTGATGCTGAGGCAGGAGGATTGAAAGTTCAAGAACTGTCTCTGCTGTAGAATACGTTCAGGGCCAACCTATGCAATGTAGTGAGTCTCTCAAAATAAAATGTGAAAGGAGGGCTGAAGTGTATCTCAGTGATAGAGCACCTACCTAGCATGTGTAAGACCCTGGGGTCAGTGCACAGTACTGCCTCCAAAAGGAAACCAGTCAGTTGTTGATTCAAATAATATTTGGAGATTGGAGTCAGGGCTTCCTCTTTCACATTGATTCCTGTGTGTGTATTTGTTTGTGTAGTCAGGACTTACCCTTTCATGTTGGTGTGTGTGTGTGTGTGTGTGTGTGGTGTTATTTGCTTTTGAATCCATATTGCCTATTTAGCACATTGGTTTGGTTCTTGCTAACCTCTAGCATTTGAGTGTAATATTTTTACCTTAGGATTATCTGGAAGCCTGATTGCGGGCAAGACTAGCCATATATTTGCATAGTATTGATTTTGTTGACTTGTTTAAAAATGTGTTTTGATAATCTTTGATGTCCTTTCATTTAATTGATCTGTGAATTGATGTTATATAAGTTGGCAGGAACTTGTTTTCTCAAATTGTGTTGATGATGTAACTTTATCTCTCATAGAAAGATAGTTTGATTTTGTTTAGTTAAAAGGAAAAAAAAAAAACCCGCTACATCCAGCTCAGAGAAACTGACAGCTGTTTGTTTTGATCTGTCCAGATATGGAGGCCATTCACTGCCACCTTTTATTTCCCCGTGGGTCCAGGAACTGGATTTCTTTATTTGGTCAATTTATATTTCTTATATCAGTATTCTACACGACTTGAAGCAGGTAAGTTATTTTTCCATAATTGTTTTAAGTATTGTTTCATTCTACAATGAAATGTACGAAATGTACTAATTCGTACATTTACTTGGATTTGGAGGGCCATTAGTATTATATGAAGGAATGGTTAATGATGGTTCTTACCTGCACACTAGGTCATGACTGTAGTAGGCTCTTAGACTGAGTTTTGTGTTTTTTGTGTTTGTTCTTTTTTCTTTGGAAATGGGGTCTTAGTATCTATTCCCGGCTAGACCCAGATGGCCTCCAACTCAGAGATCCACCTGCCTTTGCCTCCTGAGTCCTGGATTAAAGGTGTGTGCTACCACACCCAACCTACTTGAGTTTTTATTCACAGAGTGAGTTGTGAAGTGGCAGTGTTATAGAAGGAAATAACAGCAGATCAGAATTTTGCCTATGTTTGTCTCCTGAATGCCTGGGCTCTGTTCTCAAACTTATTCCAGTCATTGTCCTGCTAGAGTAAAGCTGGGCAAGAGTATATGCATCTCTTATACTGACGTGAAAGGCTTACTTCATGCAAGTCAGAGTTCATCTCATTCTCAGTGGCTAAAGCACCCGGCTTGTGGCTGGAGAGGATGGTTAAAGCGCAAGACTGAGGATTTGATTTCAGATCCTTTTAGCTATGTAAATAAGCTGGGTGTGGCACTGTGCACCTGCATTTGGTGCTGGGAGCCCGAGACCCAAGAATCCTGGGGCTCCCTGGCCACCTAGTGGAGTCAGTTTACCGTAAGCTCCAGTTTCAGTGCCTTGCTCAGAAAATAAAGGGGTGAACGCTTGAGGAAGATACTGACTGTTGACCTTTGACTTCATTCACACATGCACCGTGGGCACCTGCATGTGTACACATGCATATACTGCACATTGACTTTATGTTGTCAGTGTTTGGTAGGTACTGTAGTAGTTTTTCCAAATATAACCTCTTGTATGATGGAGAAGCAATACATTGTTTTAAAAGTGTCTTGTTGAATTATCTATTTCCTACAATACTTTATATGCTATTTTTAAGTTGCTTACACAAAGAAACAGTAAATTGATACTCTGTCAAAATACAGATACACTTTTGTTGAGTGGAAGTGATTTGCAAAAGTTGGCAGACTTTGGAGATTTTATAAAACTGCCTGCTCTTACGAACCATCCTTGAATCTACCCAAGTATTTGAAAATTATTCCTGCCTTACAGCTGCAGGGACAGAGTAGGTTGGATATTTGCTGTGAAATACAACTTTCCCTTAAGTTGACATTGCCTTTTTTCAAAAAGAAGTCACTATTTTAATACAGAGATTGGGTGGGGTCCCGACCTTTCTTTGCAGAAAAGCAGAGGATTGAGGCCGGTAAGTAGTTCAGCTGGTAAAGGTGTTGCCACCAAGGCTGACAACCTGAATCTGATTCCCTGAAGCTCACATAATGGAAGGATAGAACTGACTCCCAGAGTGATATCCTCTGACCTCTACCTACATGCATGCTGATGTACATGCATGCGCATACACACACAGTACATCATGTATAATTCCTCTGCATTTGTCAGTACCTAGCATACTTCTGATGCCAAGCCTTAAGGATTCTTTTTGATAACGGAAACTGGGTCTGAACTGGGATAGTTATGTGGCCACCTCTGCTCTTGTTTGTGTGTTCCTGCATCCATTTACCCCCATTTAATAAATAACCTGACCAGGCAATGCAAGCTGGTATGTAATATTCTGTATATGCGTAACAGGTAGAGAAAAAAAATCTGTCAGTTGTTAGACTGCTGGTTGCTTTTGTTTGCTTTTATCCTTAGAAGTGGCTTCCCTTTTTTTCCACTCAGAGCATTTTTGAAATGCTCAAGCTGAGAGGCGTTTTTGAAACAATTTTTTTGAGATAAAAAGTTACTCTCTGTATCTGTGGGTTCTGTGTCCTGAGTCAGCTGCCTGAAAAATTGAAAATATCTGGAAAATGGGTGTACTGAATTTGTACAATTTTCCTCTCATCATTATTTCCCAAACAACATATTGTAGCAGCGATTTCACAGAATTTACATTGTAAAGGAGACCATAAGTAATCTGATCTATTTCACAAGTATATGTCAGAGTCTGTAGTTTCTATGCAAATACTAGACCACTTTATCCAAGGATTGTGAACACTTGTAGGTTTTAGCATACAGGGAAGCCATTGATTGGATCCTGTCTTCCATCCATGACAAGGGAGATGGTAATCCACATCCCATCCAGCTTCCTCACTTGAGTTTAAAGTGTATACAATTCAGTTAGTTTGTGTGTAGAATTGTACAGCCATTGCCATAATCAGTTTATAGCATTTCCTTGCCCCCAGTGTCTGTACCTGTTACTGCTGCCCATTTCCCTTCCACATAAGCCACAGGAAACTACCAGTTTCCTTTCTGGCTCTTTATATTTGCCTGTACTAGTAGTGTCTCGTGGACCATACCATATATGGCCTTTTGTGACTGTTTTCTTAGTACCATGTTTTAAGGTTCTTCTGTATAGCATGTAGTTGTAGTTTATTCCTCTTTATTGTCAAATTATATAGATAATGCTGCATTCTGTTCATCCATTTATTGATGGGCACTTGACTTCAGTTCATTTTGTGGCCTCCATGACTGATGCTGCTTTGAACGTGACTGTGGAGAGGAATCTTTGCCTTCAAAGATTGTCCTGAGCAGTGGTGAGAGCTCCCGAAGGTCACAGCTGTTTGAGATAGCACAACGGGGACTGAAGCCAGGTTTTCTGTTTTTCGTTTTCTCTGCACTCCACATAGCCTTAATATGCCACCTGCATAATTTCTTGCCTGGCTAAATTGTTAAGAATGAGCCAGGCAGTGGTGACACACACCTTTAAGCCCAGCACTTGGGAGGCAGAGGCAGGTAGATCTTAGGCAGGTGGATCTCTGTGAGATCAAGGCTGTTACACAGTGGAACCTTGTCTCAGATCCACCCTCCAAAAAAGAGAAAGAAAGAAAAGTCCCCCTAAACCCTAGAAACAAAATACTATAGCTGGACGGTGGTGGCGGATGCCTTTGCTTCCAGCACTCGGTACTCAGGAGGCAGAGGCAGGTGGATCCCTGAGTTCCAGGACATCCAGGGATGTTAAGCAGAGAAACCCTGTCTTGAAAAACTAAAAAAAAAAGAAAAAAAAAAAAAAAAAAAGGAAAAAGAATGAATCAGTGTTGGTTTAAGAGGTTTCTGATTTGCACTGAAAGAATGCAATTAAAGACCAATTAATTGTAAATTCCTAGTTGCTTGCATGCCAAATAATACAGCACTACAGTTTATGTGATTATAGGTATCTCAGTCTAAAGAGTCCTTAGAAACCACAGAGCCAGAACCACCCCAGAAAAGCTTGGCTCTTGTTCAGATTCAGAAGTTCTGTTGGAATCTCAGCTGTCCTTTACAGTGAGCCTTTAGCGTGTGTGTCCTTACGCTGTGCTGAGAGAAGCAAGGAGAGCAGGAGAGGCGACTGGTCCCTCCTCACCCTTCCCTCCTTTTCCACCTTCTGGTCTGAGAATAGGGCCTTGCTATGTATAGCCTATAGCCCAGGCTGGCCCAGGCTGGCCTACGCTGGCTTTGACCTTGGAATCCTCAGCTTCCTGAGTACTGAAATTACAGGTGTGCACTACAAAACCTGTTGTTTTGTTTTCTTTTCCCTTAAGATTCATCCTTCTGTCTTTGTGATTCTTGTTTTGGGGCTGCTAAGAATTGACTGCCGTGTCTTGTAATCCTAGCAGAGTGTGTAGAGGATAAGCGACTTTCTAGTCATTTTTGTCTCTTCCCTCTGCTTCTCTCAAAATGTCCTGACTGAGGTGTTAGGAACTGTCCCTAGACTAAAAGCTGGACTGTTGTGGTTTTCTCCCTTGGAATGAAGCACTCTTAGCAGTGGTGGGGTGAGAAAAGCACTAACTTAGTCCTTAGCCTCACACTGCTTCAGACGACCATGCAACTTTGGTCATGGACTTTATTTTCTCACTTTTAAGTAAGGGGGTCATAGACTTGACCCTTGCACCTCACAGATACCTTATGGAGAAAGTCACTTGTGGAGAGGTCGGGCCTTTCCTTTGTCCGTTCCTCTCCACGTTGTCCTCCCTTGTTCCCAAGTGTAAGATCTGTAATAGAGTCTGACTCTGCTTGGTACGTCAGCCCGGGGCTGGACAAGTGGCAGTGCATCTGTTTTGTCCTAGTAGTGACAGCAGCAGCAGCTAATAGCCCTGTCCTAATAACGGGCTCCCACAGAGTCATGCTGCAGGAGTGACAGTGGTAGCCAGAGTGGACATGGCTCCTGACAGGTTTTAATCTATAAGTGAGAGACGGAAATTAACCAGTATCAAAAGTGTGCTCAGTAGATTACGGTAGGACCATGAGGGAAAGTCAGCAGGACATGAGGAAGGGGAAAGGGCCTCAGTGGGCTTGGGACAAGGCTCTGTATTTCTGGAATTGATGTCCCCCTTGGGTCTGTTTCAGCCCGTGGCAGCCACAGTGTGTAGCTTTCTGGAAGTCAGGTCAGCGGGGCATAAACTGACCATCGTCAGGTGCCTATGGTTCAGTTTTATGCCATGGTATAGACTTTGGTAAAAACTCCCCTTTCTTTAAGGAAGTGGTTTTAACTGTTTCAATATAACATTTTGAAGTATTTTTCTCCATAGATGCTATTTTCTTCCACAGTTCTGAACCCTGATGTTTGCTTTGTGTTTTTTCTAGGAGCTTTTGATGGGAGGCCAGCAGACTATTTGTTCATGCTTCTCTTTAACTGGATTTGCATCGTGGTATCCTTCAGTGCTATTTTGGGCCAGAAACATGCTCCTCCTCCACTACCACCCCCCGTTTTAAGATTTTTGGAAATAGAATTCTATAAAATATTTAAATCAGTTTTTATACCACTTAAAAACTGTAGTTAATGAAGATAACTGAGATTCTTTTTTAAAGTGAGGATAAATCTTGGGTTTTGGGGATGCCTCTTCTTAGTATCGCCTCTGGGATTTTTCCATAGTCAGCTGACTTTTACTGCTGTCTCCTTGAGCCCAGTTCTCTGTGTTCTCTGGGATGACAGTTTGTGACTGAAGCACAGTCCGTGCTGCGAGGCAGCTTTCGAAATCTGTGGTTCTTACCAGAAAATTGATTTATAGCCAACATTATTCTCTGACTTCATTGCTGTCCATCTTTTGAGTCCTAAATAATAATCCAGTCCCTCCATAAGGTCCCCTACTCTGTGAGACACAGTTGAGAAGCAAACAGTTGGATCTAACTGCCATTTAAAGTTGGCCAAGAGCCAGAAAAATATAGGGCATGGGATATGCCCTCTCTTTTAAGTGAATGGAGGGGGAAAAAAAGGTCATGGACTTATTTGTGCTGTCAATCCCTGAGTGTGAGCAGGATCATAATTGAAATGCACAGACATCTCCATCCTGTACTTGAAGGAGAGAAGCTAAAAAAATAGGAGGGTACCAAAAGATACCCAGTGACCAAGTTGCCCTGAGGTTTTCATTTCTGTCTCTTGCTCTACTGACTGTACAGGCTAATGGTAAACTTATGCACAGTTATTCAAACTTTTGTGTGTTCCCATATCTAATTGATGGAAATATGTTCTCCTTTGGAACAGTGTAATGAAATTTTATTGGAGGGAAATAATTTTTTTTTTGTACATATGATCTTTAACTTTACAAACCAAGATTACTGGCTTAGCAATGGATATGCAGGTAAGTCTTTCAACTGTTTGGTTTTGTGTATGTTTCAGCACTTGAGATTACATTGAAAGTATAAATGCTAGCTGCTATTGTTTTGAATATGTTAGCTAAGCCTTTGAGGCTCTTATAGACATTATCTAAATCATTGAATTTTCTGTTTATTTTTGGCTTATGCATTCAGAGTAATGGGTTTGCAATATTTCCTGGCCGTGTGTGAGGCTCTGTATTCCTTGAAAGCAGTTTATATGGTTAAGAAAAAACTTTATTTTCAAATAACAGCTTGAATTAATGTTTCTGACTTCCTGTAAAAACATGATTGTATTGATTATAGATTTTTATGGAACTCATTGTATGATAAACGATGCAATTAGTTTGTAATTCTAATCATTAGTTTTGTTTGCAGATTTTTTAGGGGATGGGTGTTGTAGAGAGGCCACATCAAGCCCTTGTTGCATGCTCCTGGACCAGAGGTTCATATGTTGCCTTTTTTGCAGTTGCTGATGATTCCTCTGATCATGTCGGTCCTTTATGTCTGGGCCCAGCTAAACAGAGACCTGATCGTATCATTTTGGTTTGGAACACGATTTAAGGTACTTTACCTAGGTGGAACAAAACTCAATTCTTGTCTTTGTAGTCATCCCCCTAAGCTCAAATGTGTATCTTCTGACACTTCCAGAAGGGGTCACTGCAGAGTAGCATAGCATAGGCAGGCTCTCCCTCCCCCTCAGTCCTGCGCCTAGCCATCCCAGCATCCCTTGCCGATATTGCTTCCAGTCCCTCTGAACCTCAGGTTCCTCAGGGATATGTCCCTCAGTGATCTTGTGCGTGTGTGTGTGTGTGTGTGTGTGTGTGTGTGTGTGTGTGTGTTTGTTTGTGGGGGGGGGTGGGGAGAAGTAAAAGAGAAATTGCAAAAGAGACAACATGCAGGAATGCTGCCATTTCTAATCTTTTTGTCACTCCTGCATACCCTTTTAGGTGCTAAGTACTTTACCTTGAGTAGCACCCTCAAATGCTGCCTGAGCTCACCATTTCTACCTGTAATGTCCTACTCATTACAGAACTGAATATTGCTTGAGTCATCTGCCTGGGGTTAGATTTGTTGAGGATTTTGTCATACTTACCTCACTTAGCCTTACAGCTGTTTATGCATAACCCTCTTTTTATTAGTTTGTGAAGTTTCCTTGAAGTTCACTCAGCCTTTGAAATGAGGTCTTAAGTTTGTCCTAAGGTTCGATGTCAAATCTGGAAAGCTAATACCTTATTGTGAGAGTGTTAGTTCAAGGCATCCACACACAGTGTTAGATAAAAATTCAGGTTAATTGTCTGTGACCATTTGCTGATTGGAGCCTTAGAGTGTGGGGTGTTTTTACTGTCATCCATAAGACACTTATTTCTTTGTTACTATTAACTCAGCAGGGTATATACTGAATTTGAAAGGATTCCTTCCATGCAGTTACAAGTGTACAAATGAGCACAGTTTTAGATAGGAAGATGTAAGTGTGATAAGGACGGTGTTAGATCTGAGAAATTCTTAATGACCTAGTGATTTCCATAAAGCTCTGGTTAGTATTTCTTTCCCCATTTTTAGGTTTTGCTGTCATGGTGTCTTTAGACGTGGCTGTTCAGATCTGTGTCCTCTTTCCTAGGCCTGCTACTTACCTTGGGTTATCCTCGGATTCAACTATATTATTGGAGGCTCGTAAGTAATGTTAGATTTATTTAACTGGAAACCAATCCTTGGGAAACTAATTCATTGTTATCTTCCTTTCCTGGTCTTTTAAAGACTTTAAAGAATCTCAGTGTTGATATGTTAGACCCTTTTAAAGATGTTTGATTCTAATTGGTTGCACAATAGGAATTTAAGCACCTTTGACATTGGATGACTGTCATTTTGTTAGCTTGTCACCAGATACATTGTATTTCTAGACATATTTTTTGAATACATATGTCTTTCTTTATTGACTATCCATAATGAGTAAATATAGAAACATTTGTTGTGATTCCTCTTAGGAACCTGTCCATAAGGTGACTCTATTGTGTATTTTAAGGCACTTTCAGAATGCCTTGGAAATGGCGTACTGCCACAGAAGTGGACGGTCTCAGAGAAGTTGTTCTATACCACAGTTTGATGGTATAGAACTTTTGCCAGGCAGGTTGAAATTTTTACTCTCTTGCTGGAGTTAGTACTGAGATGTGGAAAACCTTTCACGTTTCCAGTCTAAATTCAGAGAGAGAGCATCTAGATGGAGATGTCCTGGGCTGGAGAGACAGCACAGTGGTCGAGAGGAGGTGCTGCTCTTGTAGAGGACCCAAGTTTGGTTTCCAGCACCCGTGTCGGTGGTTTCTGGTATCTCTGGCCTGGTTGGAGACTTATATCTATGTGTACACACACATAGGCATGCACACACAATTACAAATAAGTTTTAAAGTTTCTTCTGCCTGGTGTGGTGGCATACACCTTTAAACCCAGCATGTGGGTGGCAGAGGCAGGCTCTGTGAGTTCAGGGCCAGCCTGATCCACATGGTGATTTCCAGGAAAACCAGAGCTACATTAGAGAAAACACCTGTCTTGAAAAAATAATGAGAATGTTCTTCTTAAAAACAAAACAAAACACAAAACTAGAGATATTTTAAGAGCTTCCATTTCTTCCATTACCAAATATTTTCAAAAGTTAATAGAGTTGGAGAGTATTAATCCTTCATATAGCTGATGTGTTTGCCTGTTGTGGTCCCTCCTTCTCCTCTGCACTTACAGAGAAGGGAGTGGACCAAATGAAAGGACTGTCTAGAGCATAGCATGTTTCAAGATTGGTGAATTCCCCCTCCGCTCTCCCACCCTCAAGGGCAGAGGCTCAGGCGAGATCCCGTTGTGGGTGAAGATGAAGAATGATGTGTAGTAGCATCAGTGGATAGGGAGCCCTGGGTGAGCCCTGGAAAACCTGAAGAAGTCCACGTGGTCTCTGAGTGTCAGGGATGCAAGAGAAATGCAGATCATGGCTCCAGAAATCAGAGTAGTCGTGTGTTGTCCACCTGTCTCCCTCCCAGGCCCTTCTCTTGGTAGTCTGCATGTTTGTCTGTTTTACAAACACTGTGTGTTTCAGAATTCAGAAACTAACTTGCTTTGCACCTGCCCCAACTTCTGAAATAGACTGGAACAAAGTTAATATTTTGAGAATGGGCGGGGCCTTGGAGATTTCAGAGGTGCCTCTGGCCTTGAGGAGCTGTGGGCCTCATTAGTTGTTCAGGCCCGATTTCCCTCTCCCTCAGAATGCATTTGTCACTCACACTGTAAAGGCCATTGTGGAGCTGTCACTGGCTCCCAGGGGCTGGAATGGGCTGCTGTGAAGGCTGCCTCTCTTTCCCATGCTCTTAGTTACAGCTTGTGCAGCCCACTGTGTTCCCTGGATGTCTTTGCACTGACTCGACTCTCTTTGCAGGGTGATCAATGAGCTCATTGGAAACCTCGTTGGACATCTTTATTTCTTCCTGATGTTCAGATATCCAATGGACTTGGGAGGAAGGAATTTTCTGTCCACGCCTCAGTTTTTGTAAGTTTTTTCTCATCTTACTGAACGTGGTGCTGTCCTGTGGTTTCAAGTATCCTGATTGAAGTTTCGTGAGGAGACACTCTACTGCCCTTTCTGAGGGAGAAATGAGAACTAGGAAGTTCTTCTCATGGTCAGGACACCAGGGATTGGTGCCACAGGTCTGTCTCTTTCATGACAGCTTCTAGCTAAAGATCACTAACTGACTAAACCATCACAAGAATAGATCAGTTTTGCTGAGCAGACTGAGGCACGTGATTCTGCTGTAAAAAATGCTGATTCTGCCAGCATTGGGTGGGGGCAGACGTCATGAAGGATGACACCACAGATTTTCTTGGAGCATTGGTGTTACCTGTGATGTTGGCTGAGTAAGTTAGCCCGTTATTTGCCATTTTTAGAATGTGATTTTTGTTTGTTTCTTAGATAGGGTTCCTGCTGTGTAGCTCAGGCTAGCCTTAAACTCTCCATTGTTCTGTCTCAGTCTCCCAAGTGCTGGAATTATAGGTGTCACTACCCTGCCTGGTTTAAACTTTTATATATTAAACGTTATAGACTAGAAAATTTGTAGATTGTTTAAAGTTAAGATGAGAGACTTGAGATTTGTGTAGCGGTCGCAACTCCTTAGAAGTAAGTGCTTTGTAGTTGTCTTTTAGAACTAAGTAGAAGAGGCCAAGGGCAGTAGCTTCCGGGGGCTGGGTGCCATTCCCTTTGCTACTACTTTTTAAAAATTTGTTTTGTTTTTTTGTTTTTGTTTTTTGAGACAGGGTTTTTTTTTTTTGTTTTTTTTTTTTGTGTAATAGCTTTAACTGTCCTGGAATTAGCTCTTGTAGACCAGGCTGGCCTTGAACTCACAGAGCTCCACCTGCCTCTGCCTCTGGAGTGCTGAGATTAAAGGCATGCGCCACCACTGCCTGGCTAGTATGACTTTTGATACTGGTCAAGTTACTTACTAAAACCTCCAGCCTTTGGTTCACAGTCTGAGTTGAGAGGCTGCCCCTGTCTCACAGGATTGGATAAATAAAGCAAGGCTCATTGTTGAAGGCATAGTGGTGGGTTGTGGATTAATGGCATAGTGCTGGGATCTGGGTTAATAAAAGCTATGTACCAAATGTTGTGGGGAGGACTGGCGGCTGAGAGGAGATGCTCAAACACGAGTGTGTAAGTAGCATGGCCATTCTGTCAGTGAAGCGAAGGGCTCTTACAGAGGGACTAGTTAAATCCCCATCTGGCTGTCACCATCTGCCTGACAAGTCACACCTAATTTTGTACAGGGCTAGGAAATAATCACTTGCATTTAAGAGTTAAAAAATGGAACCCCTTTGAATCAAGATATTATTTTAATGTTTGCACTTTTGTCTTTTTTCCAAGGGGTAGTTGAGGGGCAGTAACACCTGAGTAGTCTTTGCCCCAGCTCTGTGCAGGCTAGGATGTTTGTGGAAGACATTTGATTGCGAACTATAATATTCAGAATGATTCAGTGGCTTGTTTGTTTGTTTCTAAAAGAAAATAAGAAGAAATTTGTTTCTTTCCTTGCCTCTGGGTTGCCATCAGACTGAAGAAACACATGACCAATCTGTTTCTAATCACCAAAGGACACAATGGGGGCAGATTTGGGTCTCTAACCTAGGTGATCAAGTGGGTTTGGCAGATGCATCAGCTTTAAAAAACTTGTGTCCTGGGAAGTCACCAACAGTTACATTACCTTAAACGGCCATTTCCTGACTTTAACAGCTTACAGATATTTTTAAATTGTGGACAGAAGTGTAGAAAATTCTAATGACAAAATCGGCAGCACACTGGAGCCTGCCTTCTACTTGAGCTTTCTCTGTTGGTGGATGCCCTTCTGTTAGATTTTGCATAAAGATCAGATGGCAAAATGTAGCTCCTTGCAAAAGCAGTAACTGCTTTGGAATTACCATAAATTTTTGTTGATTATGTATAATTGGGTGTCTTTTTATTTTAATTACTGGCATTTAATTTCACTCTTAGCTTAAGCAGTGGAGCTGGCGTCTATATTGTCTTGTGTGTGCAGTAGAGTGAGACAGCCTTACTGCCTTTTTCAAGTGCTGTTTTATTCTGTACTGCAGAGGGGGAGTATCGGACAAGATGTTTCAGATGCTGACAGTTTGGTGCCTGGACATGACACTTCAATTTGATGATAAACTGTATTTTGTTTTGTTATTTAGTTTTTTAAGAGACAGTTTTGATATGGATGTCCTGATTGCTGGGGATTTGTCATCCTGCCTCAGCCTCCCAAGAGCTGGGATTGTAGGCATTATGTCCCCATGTCCGACTGGGCATGAGAGAGGAATTGACTTGTAGAAACTCTAAAATAATCCATATTCTGCATTTCCTTTAAAAGGCAGCTATATCTTTTCCTCTGTACGGTTTTCTTCCAACGGTTACTTTTCTGTAAAAGAGGTCATTCTCTTTTTTGGGGAGGAGTGCGAAGGTTTTTCAGATGTTACAAATTGTTGCACGTTTGTGTTTGAACAGTCGTACTCAGTGTTGCAGCAGACGCTTCTGCGCACATGAAGGAGTGTGTATGGGCACTGGCTAGGGTCAGGCTGCCTGGGCTGGAATACTGACCATTATTCCTGAAGAACTTCACTCACTTTCTGCCTCCATTTTCTTGTCGATTTAGTAAGTTTTTTAGCTGGGAACTGTGGCTTGCCTCTAAACTCAGATACTTGGGAGGGTGAGGGCAGAGGTTCTGGAGTTCAAGGCCAGCCTGGGCAACTTAGTAGAACCTGGTTGGGAAATTTTTTTTTTTTTTTTTTAACAGAAAGGCTGTTAGCATAGCCCAGTTGTAGAGTGCTTGCCTAGCACTCCTGAGGCTTTGGATTCAACCCCCAGAACAGCCAAAAAGGAAAAGAAAGAAAGGTGTGTGTGTGTGTGTGTGTGTGTGTGTGTGTGTGTGTTAATATCTTCACTTAATAATAATGAACTTCTAAACATGACATAACACAGGTGCTTCTTGACCAGTAAATTGCTTTCATATAAGGTTGTGCTGTTGGGTGTTGATGTGACTACTAACCATGACATTCTTGCTGCGAAGAGTTTCAAACCAGGGTGTCAGTTTGTACTCCCTGCTTCCAGCAAACATTTAAACTTTAGAACCCTATATAAAACAGGTCCAAACACATTGCCAATTTACTAATGCAGACAGTGAAGAGAAATGTTGAAAATGTCACTGAGAACAGACATGGGTTGAAGTTTTGTTAGCTGTCCTGTGATGCCTGGTTAATTAATTTGTAAAGTTAGAGATCATGTGACCTTTTTTGGGCCTTGGCGTTGACACTGTCTGGGATGGGAAGGGTACAGCTGAAAGGCAGGCGACGAGTAAACTAGAAACACACCCATAACTTCAAGACAGAAAGCCTGTGGCCCAGAAGTCTCCAGGAGTCAGCCCAGAGCTGTGGAGATGCTGTGCAGGGCTCAGACATGCTGCTTGTGGGTTTTTCTCTGAAAGTGAAGTGAGTTCATTTTGAATTCTTCGATCCAGTCTGACCCATATGCTGACAAACCAAGAAGCCATCAGTGACTCTTCTGCTTGTTGGGCTTGTGTGTGCAGTCTTTTTGTTTCCATATTGCTCTGCATGAATTACTTTTATAATCGGTGAAAAAAATATGGAGAGCGTGAATTTAACTGAAAGCTTGATAAAGTTTAGAAACGTGAAAGGCGGTTGCCATCTGTGGTCAGGGCATTGCACTCAGTGCTAAAAAGGAAAGCTAAATGAGACTGTATCCCTGGCCTCTCCCATCATGACAAGTGCTTTGGAACACCCAGGAGATGGAGATGTTTCAAGTGACTGGAGATGGTCTACAAGTAACTTTGTTCTCGTCTTTGTCTTTTTTTTTTTTCTCTCTACTCCAGGTACCGCTGGCTACCCAGCAGGAGAGGAGGGGTGTCAGGGTTTGGTGTGCCCCCTGCCAGCATGAGGAGAGCTGCTGATCAGAATGGCGGAGGTGGGAGACACAACTGGGGCCAGGGCTTCCGACTCGGAGACCAGTGAGGAGCCTGCCCACCAGCCATGCTAAGCAGATGACAGTTTCCTCCCAGTACTGGGCACGCTTAATGGCCAAGTTCTTGCTGCCGCTCTTGGACCTGACCCATGCTGAATGTAGTCTTTTGGTACAAGACGACATTTTTAAATCCTGAAGGAAAATACAAGTGTTCCTCAAGTTTCATGATTTTCATTCAAGTCCTTACTGCTCTGAAGAACAAATATCAGCTGTGCAGATTTCAAAACTGACTCATTTTCTGGTGTCTTCTCTTCTTCCCTTTCCATCGGAATAACGGGCGGGGCAAGTGGGGTTGGTTAGCCAAGCCCTGCCAAAGGACCCCTTCCTCTTTCTCACACACACGTCCCCAGAGTTGCAACTTGAGTTGGTCCACAAAATGGTTTTGCCTTTGACAAACTCTTATTTATTGACTTTGCCAAAGCTTGGTCACAAAGAGCTTGTTCACACATCGCTCTCAGCTGTTGCTGGCAGGACTGTGAGAGTAGGGAGAAGATTGGAGCAGCGGCCGAAGAGTTTTCTCAGTGGTGGGGACTCTGTCGGCCAGACAGCAGCGCGGCCATTAGCTGCCTCCACAGATATTTTTCTATGAAAAGCACCACTGAGTCAGTGAGGCCCCGTCTGGGGATAATGAGGTTAGGAGTTGTTGCTAGGCACTTCTGTCCCCCAAGCCAAGTGATCAAAACCATAGTGGAGCTGCTTCTAACACAGAGAATGGGTTCAACACGATCTCTTTGTGTTTCTTCCATGGGTGCACTGTGCTGGCTTTGTGTACCCAGAGCCGTTGTGCTGTGCTGTGCTGTGTTAGGAGGTTCCAGATCACATTGGTCGTACATGTCCCTGGAGGCAGGCTTCAGGGCTGTGTTTCCGTTTTATCCTCACTATGGATGTGTGTTCATTGAGTCAGCAGAGGAGAAAGCGTCAGACTCTTTAGATTTTTCTTTCATTGTTTTTGTCCCTTAAGTTTTTGGTCAGGTGTTTTGGTTACTGGTGAGGGAAGTATGGCTCTTCGGATGTATATCAGTCAGTCAGTTTTTAAGGCTAATAGCACACCTGAGTAAGTGACACATAACTAGAGGTTCCAGTAGCTTTAGAATTATTTGTCTTTATTATCTTGGGTCATGCATGTATACATTTTGTGAATCAGACCTACTCCCTTTTTATAGGTGGGCTTTTGCCAGCTGAGCTTGGTTCATCACTAAATAAAATTTTCTGAAGGCTACCGTGCTTTATATAGTTAATTTATGCTTTTATTCTGAAACCAGACTGCTGGGAACAGTGTGGTGTGGCCGCTATACTTTGAATATTGTCCAAAGGTTTCCATTACTTTGGTTGGTTCCTTGCAGGAAATGTGCCCTAACAGTATGTCTTGTCTTTATCTGCTCATTAAAGCTGTGATATGTGTTGTATTAGGAAGTGGGAGTTTGAAAGTTTGTGTACCTCTCCATATTTAATATATATGATAAAACAATTGGGTGGAGAGAGGCTGAGCCGAAATGCCCTGATTCTCCTGCTGTCCTGAGGCTTCATAAAATGTGTTTGTAAATTTCCACATTCTCCCAATGGCATTGCACAGGCTCTCCCTGTGCAAGGTAGAGGCTCGAACTCAGAAAGGACTGGACCAGTGAGCGAGCAGGGGATTGTTCTACTCTCTTACCAGGCTGGCTCCTGAGAGCACTCTCTTTTCTAAGGGTCTGCAAGTATGTACAACTTTTCTGTTCAAGGTAAAATGTTCATTAAATTCTTTCTCCTGAACATGGTTCGGAGGCTGATCATTTTATTATCTTGCCTGGATTACCAGTCCTTCCGGGATAGTTGTACCAAAGTGAGCTGTTTTAGTTTTGACTTCACAAGGTAAGACATCACAGTGGGTTCTCTTTATGAATGTGAAAAAAACCCTTATTTTGTACAGACAGCTTTCCTTTTTGTAACTAATCCCTTTTACTGGTAAATATTGTAAATTAAACTGTGCAACTTGAAGGCTGTCTATGTTAAGTTTCCATACCTCTGCTGTGCTGTGTTGTATGATGTACTTTATGTTATTGTCTTCACTGGATCAGTTTTGTGTGATCTCTAGTAGGTTTTGATTAGCAGGACACAGCAAGCCTTTTGTATATGATGTTGTTCATATATTAGAGAATGTTGGAATTCCTGGAAGAATTAGTACTGAGTTTTCCTTTGTGTGTGTGAGAGTGTGTGAGTGTGAATGTATATATGTGTGAGAGTGTATGAGTATGAGAATGAATGTGTGTAAATCTTTGAGAGTGTATGTGAGAATGAGCAGGTACATATGTGTGTGGTGTGGTGTGGTGTGTATGTATGTATTGATTGGGTCTTGGTATATAGCCCAGACTGTCTGTAAACTTGGGCTACTCGGCCTCTCAAGTTCTTGAATTAGGCGTATACCACCACCTCTGGAAGCAGGGTGCTTCCAGATTTTAGGTTTTCACCCATAGGTGTGAGTGTTGGAACTCTGGAATTATATAAACGCTTCCTTACATAGGAAGCCCAGAGTAGAACACACATGCCTAGTTTTTTATCTTAAAGGTGAACAATTTGAGTATGGTTTCCTGGCCTTCTAGTGCAACACAAAGAAGCAGAGCCTTGCACCTCCTTTCTCTATTTAATAGAGAAATAATAGAACAAGAAGGAAAGATCCTATTTATTTGAAAAGATGGGACATTGCCAGCCTCGTGATGTTCTGAGCTACCTTTTGAATAGCACTAATAATAGGCAGTGTCTCAGTTGCCAGCATCTTCATTGCCAACTGTGAAAGATTCCTTGCCTGTTTACATTTTCAATAGTGACAATACTAAATAATGAAACTTGTTAACCCTTGGGCAAAGGTATGTATCTTTCTGGATTTCTCCCTGATAGTATCTTAGAAGCCTGGCCTGGGCAGCTGTGCTTGCTGGCAGTTTGCTTTCCAGAGTGACTCTGTTGGGATTGGGTGGTTGCGTGCATAGCCTGTGATTCCTTGGGTGTGTGGTTTAAGCCTAGGCTCTTGTCCCTTGGTTCCCTTTTTCCACACTGTTCTCTCTGATTTGTCCTGACATGTTAATGTCTATATGCAGGTGTATTCCATTGTGAATATTTTAGGACTCGGTGGCTTCATTTCTGACATGAAACTCGTTTGGGTTTGGGGCCTGCGGGGAGTAATTATCTTGTGTCATTTCCTTTCTACATGTTTATAAAGTTTCTGGTAATTCTGATACTCAGTTGGCTTTGGGAACCAGTGCTTAAACCAACTTTTTCTTGTATTAAATGTGTTCTGTTGATAACTTCATACTCGTGTTTATATAGTACGTTTTAATTACGGTGATACTCATCCTCTCATCCCTCACACCCGTTACCAGCCCCATACAAGTCCTTTGCCCACATTCAGAGAGTTGGGCTTTGTGACCCAGAGTTTAAACAGGGCTGTTGGTGTGTTTATAGGTTTTCTGCTATTCACAGGATCATGTTGAGCTCATCAGTGGGTACACAATTGAAGACAGTGCCTGCCTTCCCCCAGAATGCATCAGTAGCTCATAGTTGAGCAGGAAAAGTAGGGTCCCATGGGCCCCTTGGTGATCTGGGATTGACTCCTGACAAGCCCAGTCTAGCGCAGGCCCATGGCTGGCAGCTGCTCCTGATAGGAGATGATGATTGAAATGGCTGGGCCGTACCCACATGACTTCCCTGATCTGCTCTTCCAGCTCTTAGATTCTTCCTGTTCTTCTGCGTTGTTCCAGCAGCTTTAAAGGGAGTGATAAGGATGTCCAATTGAGAGTTCAGCCCTCCACTGTAACTTAGTATCTCTATTTGCTACCTTTCATTGTAAAGTATTTAGAAGGCAGCCTGATACTGTGTCCGTTTAGCTAAACAATAATAGTAAGTTTCCTCTAGGGCCTAAGACTTTAGTCTTGAGTTTTTAACTCTGTTTTATAGTGCCAGGCATGGCAGTTGTACCATAATTGCACTAGTGGGCACAAATTACCTGGTAGGTTGGTATTGTAGTTTATAGGGTTTTCAGCAGAGGGCCACTTTCAACAGCTTACATTGCATCTTCTGGTACTATGAAAGCTAGCTACCCAGGAGGAAACCTCCAGCTCAGATCCAGTTTGATTTCTCTATCTCCTATACCAAATGCTGTCAACTCTGGATAGTTGGAGGGCAGCCAAAAGGAATTTCAAGGACCTGTATTGTCCTGAAAACTTCTTGAGCCTCGCTGACCGCAGCTCAAAAGGACACATCCCATACTTAGCACTAGGAGTTGGTTTAATAACACGTGACTCTTTCAGCGTTGTTCAGCCATGCCTGCTTTTTACCCTCCTAACTCATTTTTTACTCGGCTAATAAAGTAGTATGTTTCCATTGGACTTTTTCCTGCACCCTTCATTCTGTAAATCAATTTTTGAAGTTTTTTTTTCCCCAGATAAGGAAAGACTCAAAGATTAAGTCATATAGCTAAGTGTCAAAGACAAGAACCTAACTTCATGCTGTTCTTTCTTGAAACCGAAGCAGATGCCGGCAGGATACAGTCTGCCTTCGGGATATGTGCTTTCTTTCTTTCTTTTTTTTTAAAAAATATTTATTTATTCATTCGTTATGTATACAGTGTTCTGCCTGCATGTGTGCCTTCAGGCCAGAAGAGGGCACCAGACCTCATTACAGATGGTTGTGAACCATGTGGTTGCTGGGAATTGAACTCAGGACCTCTGGAAGAGCAGGCAGTGCTCTTAACCTCTGAGCCGTCTCCCCAGCCCGGGATATGTGCTTTCTCCAGCCCGGGATATGTGCTTTCTGCCGATGCAGTCCCCTCGGTCCACCTTGTGCAATTCGTATTTGTTATGTAATCAAAGGCGGTTACAATTCAGCAAGCCTCCAGAATGGAAATGTTAGTTAGGAAGGGGAGCTTGGTATTGAGGTAGGCAATTGTAGGCTAAAGTAGAGAGAAGCCGTTTGTTCTGGGGAGAGGCACTAACAAGAGTCGCAACAAAGGTAATTCAGAAATTCGACTGTTAGGTGTAGCAGCCTGTGCCTGTAACCCTAGTTCCGGACATGGAGCTACGGACATCAGTGCATCCTTGAAGCGCATTGACCTAACCTGAATTGACTCGGGGTCAGTGAGAAACCCTTTCTCCAAAAGTGAAGGTGAAGTGCAATCGAGGAAAGATCCGATGTCCCCCTTTGGCCTCTACACACGTGTCCGCAACAGCATGCACAGGTGCACACACCCATACCAACAAGTACAGTACAACCTACACAATAGAAAGTTTGGAGCCGAGAGGACTGTATTGCTAGACATGGCAGAAAGCAGCAGGGTGTGGCTGGGAAAAGGCTGAGAAGGGAGATGGGGACCGAATTCAGTGGAGGAAGTTAGGAGAGAAGGGAAAGACAAACTGGCCGAATTTTGTGTTGGTAGCTATGGTGCAGTTTCCGATAAGGCTTGCTTTGACCTATGGTGCTGAGATTGGGGTGGGGGGGATGGGAGAACAATGAGAGAGAGACCGACTGCAGGATTCCTAGGACTTAATGGGGATGAGGGTTGCTCATGCTGACTGGTTTCCACTGGCAAGCTCTGTAGGCCCAGGTGAGGGAGAGACAGTTCTCATTCGGTGTCCTGCTGCAGGGATTTCATCAAGGAGAGACAGCGACCTGTAGGAAAAATCAGGTGCCATCCTGTGTGCCCCATTGGTATCCCATTGTGTGTGTTCTTTGTCACACACATTTTGCCATTTGCTTAATCTTTTACATGGAACAGTAAAGGCACACCACATAAAATGCAGGTGGTTTGTGGGATTTTTTTTTATTTTCTATTTTTGGTCCCACTGGGTTGCTGAGGATGGCCTTGAACTTTGACCCTTCTCTTCTGTCTGCTGAATGCTTGGATTATCGACATGTACCAACCCTGCCTGGTTCATGCCGTGCTAGGGATCAAACTCAGGGGTTTTTCACGGGCTAGGAAAAAGCACCCTACCCACTGACCTGGATCACCAGCTTTGTCACGTGATTTTTCAATTCTGAGAGTAGAGGTTTTGGCCTGCCTTAGGAGAGAGCTAGGACCTGGTCTCCTAAGAGCATTCAAAGATTTGGTTGTTTATGTAAAAAGTCATAGTCCTCTGATGCAAGATAAAAAGAGTTTGGAATAACAGGAAGAATGTACTCAATATGTTTCTTTTAAAAACAATAAAACAGTCCTTGTCTACAGTGTATAGTTACATATTCATCAACCTCAGACTTGGGTGGTTTGGGTAAAGGAGATGGTGCAGACTGAATTCAGGCAAGCAAGAGTGTGTGGGAGTTAAGGTGTAAATTTAGTTTGCTCTCTTGAGAAATTCCCCTGGGGTCAATGCAGATGTCAGCGTAGTAGGGAGAGGAAACCCCTGCCATAGCGTGGGACCACACAAACCTCGGAATACTGAATTGAGTTTTAGGTACAGGACAGGCTCACTTGGGCAGAATAACAGGGCTCATTGGAAGCCTTCACCTGACCCAGATGAATCTGATTTCTCCTCGGTGTGCTGGCCTTTTCCCAAGGGCTGGCATAGACACAGTGGGTCCTTGTTAAGTAAGGACAATCACCGTTAGCATAGGGAGCCTTTGGCTTTGGGCTGTACTTGTCTTGATAAAGAAGCAGGAAACCCAGCTCTAAGAATGTAATACATCCCAGCCAGGGCCTGGTTCTCTCCTGGTGGTGCTTGGATCTGTTCCTGGAGAGGAGATTGAGATTTTGTGGTCATATAGATTCTCAGTTTAAGAAGAACCCTGGCTAAGGCAAGCCCGAAAAGTCTATTTTTAGGGGTTTGGAAGAACTCGTGACCAGAGATCTGCTGAGAACTCTTATATTGGCAGGGCACCCGGGATCCAGGTGGCAAGCATTGGGCTCCTCTCTCAGTGGGCCATGTTCATTTCACCATTGGTTCTGTTCTTGTGTTCCCTTTAGAATTCAGCTCTCGGGTCTTGTTCCCACATTAGACATTTTGCTCCTAGCTTTA